AAAAACAATAACTCTGTCAGTAAAAGATTAATGTTATTTCCTGTTGCTGGAACTCGATGGTTGAGATTGTAGTCAGGGTGCAAACTATGGTGGAGCCAGGGAGAGCTTGGCTCCTCTTAATAATATGGTAGCTTCTCTAAAAACATGATATGTGAAATTAATATGAATCATGGATCATGCGTAAATAGAATTCTATATAAGTTGTCTTTAACAATTTACTTTCATGATTGGAGAGGCTGCTGTCAGTCCTGTCAGAGAGTCGGGAGATTTAAATAATTAATGAAGTTATGGTGCTGTACCTCATGCGTTCTTTATAGGGAGATGATTCATCCTATTTCACCCATCCGCAACCCACTATTAATCTGAATGTTCATTTTTATGACCCACCCGATCTGCAGCTATAACTGTAATCTGCAAATCACTAGAACCCACCTATGCAGGCACATCTTACTATCTGAATAATGCGTCCATTAAACAGCAGTGAAAGTAACTCAAAAATAACATGCAAGTAGTGTAAAGCATTACAATTCAGTGATATTGTAATATAACTAATTACTCTCAAATGACAGTAACTAGTAATTCATAATTTATTACATTTTGGAAGTAACTTACCCAACACTGCTTGTATTAAAATTGAAGAAGGAATCTGTCTAAAAAAAGGGCTATGATTTTTTTTTTGTAGGAAAAAAAACATACTAATGACTTAAAAACATTTATGAATGCAGACTTGATTATTTATTGGAAAGTAAGAAAAATACGCTCTATTAAAATACAATAAAAGAGTATTATTTTTTCAATGTTATTATTTTTTGTAATTTATGAAAGAAAGGGTCTATTAGTGCTAAAATAAGAGCTGGTAGGATGCCTCAGGCCACTTCCGCTTCAGACCTCCACTGTCAGGCCCGTCAGGACAGGAAATACACGCAAAAACTACAAAATAAAAGCGTGCGATTTGACAGGATACGCATTCAAAAATTATAAAGGTTAATCGCGTAGACATAGGGGGAGGGTTTTGGTCGTTGATTTATATTTAATTATTTAGTCAACATTGTAACGGGAAACTAGCAGGCTAATTCCTTAAATATAGCATATTGATTTGAGCCTATTCTACTTAGCACTTAAAGTGCCAATGTAGCAACAAAGCCCACTGTATATTGCTTCAATCATTCAACTAGTAACAGTATCTTTTTTACAGGCACTGTTTATTTATTCTGCCAAAATATGACGTTAATTCCGGCCATACAGCTGGCCACATCCTGTCACAGAAAAAGATCGTCGTTGATTAAGAGTGTAACTTAGCCTCTCTTCCAGTCATCTTAAAAGAAACACACACACACTTCTCAATCATAATTTACCTTTGAAGAGTAATATACTATGACATTTTACTGCAATCAGCTGAATTTAATAGGAAAAAAACAGATAACTATGGAAAGGTAGGCAGGGATTAATAAATAAATAATAGAAGCCTGGACAGAGACCTCATTGCTCATTATGTGGTCAACACTTTCTCTCACACACAGCAGCCCACTACTTGCCCCAGATGTGTGTGATACTGCAACAAAGTTCAAGTTTTAAAAGCCTGAAATAAACCAACAAAGACTACTGTTCAAGGAGAGACCGCAAATCCGCCCTTTATCGTATCATATTAATTATTAATCATGTCGTAATGACTTTCAAGCGGTGCGCACAGAGGGTGTGCAGCATAGTTCGTTTGGAAAACGTGTTTATTTTAGTGTGTTTATCTTATTAATATAATGTACATTTGTCATTAAAAATAATGGTTGTTGCTGGTAAATGAATTACTGTTCCATCAAAATATCTACCACTATCAATATTTGTACATCTACATCACGCAAATTAGGATATGCCAACATTGGCTGTGGTGAGGAGTAGTATCTTTATGGATAACTGTTTAAATAACCTTGTGTTTTAAATATCTCACTGCTCCAAAACAGCTGATTCAAACTATCAACTCCTTATGAATCCTGAAGCTGCCTCAATCAGCTGTGTTGAAGAAGGGAGAGATTAAATCATGGAGGCCAGGGGGAAACTTTCTTCAGGAAAGGGTTAGGAAACACTGTCGTAGTACATAAACTTCAGTACAACTAAGATCAATTCGTACAGCCAGCAAAGTCTTTGCACACTGTTTAACGTTAAGTGTGAAAAGCTACACCGAACGGTCTAAACGATATAGATCTTTATTTTATCTTCTTTTGGACAAATAACTAACCTGAGCGTTGTCAACATGCTAAGGCAAATGCAAGCCTATGCCCTTGCAAAATGTTTAGCAAAAACGAACACAGCTAATCCTGCTACTTCAGGAGCTAACACTAGCCACCGTTGGCGTGGCCTAACGTTACCAATGTAGAACGACAAATAGCCTAACTTACACACGTGTAACATTCTGTAATTTGTGTGATTTAGATGTACAATATTGACAGCGGTAGCTATTGGCGGCGAACATAGACCAAGAGCAATGCACTCAGACTTTACTCTGTTTTGGATAATGCTAGCCAGTCACCTACCGCTGTCGCGATGTGTAGAGTAGCGAAACAACCGGGAATTCATTACGTTCATACTGAAAAGGGTCAGTAGACTGCTTTGCTGGTTGCAAATATCCAGTATGTCATCTTAAGAGAATTAGTATCATTTTGTTTTTCATATTGGACATTCTGAGCTCTTCTGATCAGTAACACAAAGATGGTGAGTTGATGATATGAATTGATATGAATGACTCACAACAATGAGTTTGAAAATGAGATCTGAGTTATTCAGTGAATGCACAGCTGTATCAATGATGTCTGGATTATCATTATAATGGCTGTTATTTGTTATCAGAATAGTTTATTGTTTGGCATGGTCACTTGGCTGTTTGGCTGTTCACTGTTATAATGTTGTCTTGGAAAGTTGTCTTAAATACAATACAACCCATTAGTCACTGTAAAATACACCCCATAATACACAAAGTAAATATGGCCAACTGGATAATCTGTAGCTAACAAACACAAACATATCACAGCCCCACACAGTTTAGCAAATAAACCCTGAGAGGAGCAGAGCGGAAACATCACAGCAAGTAGCTCTTAGCAGAAAATAAACAGGATCTTGCAAATTAGCACTTTAGTGTCCTTGTCAGTGACTGCCATGGTTACCTGACATGTGGTAAAGGGTTTGATGCTCCACAGGAACTGGGGAACATCCTGGATGGACACCTGGAGGCTGAAGGTGTTCGCTCGGAAAGGCAACAACTTTGGCTCCTCGAGGAGCTGACCCCCTCTGGTCTTCTCTGCAGCCACCACTCCCTGGAGGGGGAGAAAGAGCAATGAAGAAAGGAAAGGAAAGGAAGGAAGGAGAAGGCGGCAGGGAAAGGAAGGAAGGAGAAGGCGGCAGAGAATGGAAGGAGAGGGGTCAGAAAGAAAAAGGGGTTAAGACCTCTCTTAACCTTTATATATATAATTTAGAAGAAAACACACAAGAGAAATTAGATGAATACGAGAGAAAACTAAGAATCCTCTCCTTTTCTTTGAAGGTACAGTACCTTTGCATATCAGCACAAACACCTGTTGCTAATCCCTTCCTCTGTCACATCCACTAATTGAGTCATCACAAATATTAATACAGGAACAGGCCAGCAAGAAGTGACGTCAAGTCTCCGCCGAGCAAATCATACAACTCTTGCTCACATTAGCATCACATTTGCAGCCTCAACATGACAGATTGAAGCTTGAATTTAATGCTTGGGAGACGTGTGCGTCGGGGGGGCAAACGTCCATCTCCCAAATTGAATTTGTGATGATGAAAGAGCACTTTGATTGTCGCTTGCAGTTATTCATCTGTCATCATTGTTCAGTGTCCCGGTGGGACGGTTCCATGTCTGGCCTGTCTATCCTTAGCTATCTGAATCACAAAGGGAAAAGACTGGGAACAGAGCTGTGACTAATGCCATGCTACGCTGACTGATTCTGACTAAGTGGCTGTCCATGCAAGAGCTTGGTTATGCATGTGTGTGCGTGGTTGAGTGTGTGTATGCACTTATATGCATATGTTTGCAGAAACGCGTGCCCGAGGCGTATTGCATCTTGCCATTGCTGTAGGTGGGGGAAAAAAGAAAAAAATCAATTATTGGCAAAATGCAGATGAAAGACTTTCATATGAAAAACAAATGTGGCAGCAGGGAACCTAAAATATGGTATTCAAAACTGTTAGACACAGAGCAGCTGGACAACGCTGGGTTTCTTTGTTTTCCCATAGCTAGCTTGTATCTATGATAACATTTCCTTGATCGAACTCATCTGAAGCTGTCAAGATGCCATGACTGAAGTTTTGTGTAGACTGTGGCTGCTGCTGATCTGCTGTTTGACACATCACACACAGTGACTGTGTCTTAGATCATGTTTTACAGCTAAGGGGTGTTGCAATGTCAACCAAGAATGAGAAATCCAGACAGAAGAATTGAAAAGTTGTTGGAGTTATTTTCTGAGTCCAGGGCTCCAAAACGACTTCTTCCAAAACTTGTGACTGCAGGATCGAGCCACAACTGCAACCACAGAAATGTTCTCGCTAGAACAAGTTATTTTTTATATTTTTCGTAGCAGATTGAAAAATATCTTGTGATGAAGCTGGTAAAGAGTCAGCTATCTTTAACTTTCATTTCATTTTTTTCATTTTTTTCTTACTTTAGAAATTCAAATTAGCATGTGACATATGTAGCTACCTCTGGAGATTTTATGCGCAGGACTTAGCTACTTTCCATTGAAAATAGTTTGTAGCACTGGTTTCATTTCAAAGGATTTAATGAGCATTAAACTCTCCCTGTTGAATCATCAGTACAAAACATAAGCAAGGCATATACAGGAATCCTGAGGTAAAATTCAATACCTTTAAGACCCTTTTAAGACGTTTCAATATATTTAGAGATAAGATATATATAAGACTGTTACGCCACTTTGAGCTGTAAATCAGCAACACACCTTTAAAAGTGGAATTGCAGAGGAAGGAATTTATTAATTATTATTAAATACATTCATAACATTTGTATTCCCTGTATGTGACTAGGTTGTAACCTCACCTAGAAATTGAGGCATTCACCAGCATTCTCAGTTGCCTATAAGCCTATATAGGCCAAATGTTTTCTATGTGAAGGACTGGTCGGATTTCCTGAATTGTCTTACATAGGCTATGACGTTACTGCAAAACATGTAAAACATTTTGTGTTTTAGTTGGTTCAAACTAGATAACGTTAGCTTACCTGCAAACGCCGACCACTTGATAACTACCTGACCTAGCTGTAGCTTATTTTCAGGCATAAATATGGAAAGTTTTTATAAGAATAACTTTAGTTGAACAGATGTAAAATAGAACATGGGTAACATGTTGCTCACAGACGGAGGCAGCTAGAAGCAGCACATATTGGCACAATGGCATCCTGAATCTGGCTACTACAGAGGCTCGATCCACAACCTGGAGGAGGAGCTAGTATAAATGACTGTATTAGTATATACAGTCATATACACTATGTAAAGTATATTGTTAATATAATAGTAAAGTGTAATATCATATAATAGTACAGTATATTATAGCTAGTATAATATTCATTCCAGCCACAGATGTTTCAGTTTGGGGTTGTACCTTTTTTATTAATTAACTTTGTGCACGAAAAATTTTCTACATGGTAGTTAGTCTCTAACTTTAATTTTAAGTAGGATACAAACTCGTCAGTAATAATTAATTTATGCAGAACGATTAGTTCAACATTTGGAAAGTTTGCTTTGGCACATCAAACCTTTTATTATGTCCCGCTCCATCCAGGCTGTGATTGATCTGTTCACGAAGTGACACTGACAAGCACAATGGCTTTATGAAAAGTTGAACGTGTTTCAATAACAGGCACTGATTTGGCTCAATAGCCTGCTAACATTAGCCAAACCCAAATATTGCTTCTATTTTCCCTGTTATCTTCTGTCTTACCCCTTCACCCGCTGACAGCACATCTTGCTCTTGTTTTTGGGTAACGAGGCTGTTCAAGCCGCCACAGCAATATTATGTAGCTGCAGTTCCGGAGGCTGCAGTTTCATGACCCGCACAGTCCTGGGACCACAGTTCTAGGACCGTAGTTCTTTTGTGTGCAGCTATAGGGTTAACCGGTCGACATTCATATAATCAATAACTTAAGTTTAGGCACACACTCTGTGATGGTTGTGGTAAGGGTAATTGGCTTCGGGGGAGCTCTAAAGAGTTACATAGCTGCTAGCTAGCAAGCTAACCAGCCAGCTAGCTAGCAGTATCAAAGTAAACAAGGGTCCTAGAAATGCAGTTCTGGTCGTCGTAGGATTGCGGTCCTGAAACTGCAGCCTCTGGTATTGGCCTGGCTTGGTGGAATATTACGGTTGGTTGTGCTCGTAAATCTATTTTTAGGGGCGCATGACAGTGAAATACTCACACGGTAGATCCTTGGGCCTAACGTTATACAGAAGAATCACTCACAAACTGGCTCCCCAGGTTTCCTTTAACATTTTCAAAGCTAAAATACTATTTATACTAGGGCTTTACTATGATTACTATCAAGTTTAAAGGCTGATTTTTGCTCCTTAATGAAAGTTGAAAAACACAGATGGTTAATTGTGGTTTAAACAATTTTTTATGGTCAGAACATGAAAATCACTTATCAAACAGTGGATCACTTCACAAATCTGAGGTAGAAAATTCAAAACTATTATGTTAAATTTTTTCAAAAATATGCACGAGTTAGTTAGTAAGTTAAAAAGTAAGTGCTAATTTATTCATCATTCAAATAAATCAGATCATACATTGCATATTTATTAAACATTTTTTATATTGTTATATTATACTGTGATAACTATTGACAGGCTATTGTTTTATTGTCCAGCCCTAATTTATAGTATGACTTGACTGAATAAGTGATGTTTATTATGTACTGAGAGATTTACATCCATATTGCTCAGTCTGCCCTGAGAATCAACATTTTAATCAACGTGAATCCAATGCTTTCCACCAGGATTAAATTCACGTTTGGTCTGAAAGCACCATTACACACACTCTGGGTCTGAAAAGTGAAGCCAACATGGAAGTTCCTTAAACCTGCATTATTTCTAATCATGGTGACTCAACTGGTTGCAAAAAGAAGTCTGATTGAATAGAAGTCAATGAGAAAATGACACTACTTGTCACTTTTTCTATCTCAGTAAACACTTTCCTAATGAGTTTATTGTCTTATTATCTACTTGAAAGTATTCTTCATTATAGCATGATGTTTATTTTGTAAATTATAGTAAAGTATGCTTTGGGGCATCGCTAACCTTGTGATAGACAAGTCGCTACTATTTCGACTGGTCAGGCGTAGCACTGGGTGTCCCTCCCCATTTCCACCCTCTCATCCAAATATGGTCACTTCTGGTTCCAAAAAGCCAAATGCCAATCTCGAGGCTTCAAAATGGTAGTCCACAAACCAACGGGTGACGTCACGGTGGCTACATCCCCTTCTTATATACAGTCCATGGGAAACATGCAGAAAGTGCATTGCTAGTAATATCTATGGGACGTCCAAGCAACACAGACTTAACAGCTCACCACCGGCCCAATTTATATATCACATAATAACTACTGTGCTAAAAATCATTTTGTTCATCACATTGAAAAAAAACAGATGAAGATGATGTTAGAATTCAGGACAGTGTAGAAACCTCTGCCAAGGCTAAAGGTTGAGGTGAACAGTATTTTCTGGAAGCATTTACACTGGAAGGTAACATCTTCCAGCAGAATACTAATATAGGTGGTATTTTCAGGTAGGTAGGTGTATCCATTGTCTCCCCACTACATTCTGAATGCTGTGACCTTGGAAATGGAGGGCCATTATTTTGGCCCATTCCGAAGCAACAAGACTTGCGTTTGTTGTTACAGCTGATACAACATTTTTGGGGCAATTTTAAGATCTTTACATGTACTGAATGATCTGTTAATTCTAGAATGGGATGATGAAGTCTTTAAAAAGTGCATCAATTTCGATATAAATATGTGGAAAATGTGACTTGTTGAAGAGCTTCTCTTTTAAAAGAGACAGCAGCATTGCTGAGGAATATCATAGAAAATATCAGAAATTCATCCTTCCTTGGTCTCTGCTGAAGAAAATGTCTCCCTCACACAAGTGTTTGTGTTGCATCAGGTTTCCTGTTGATCCAGAATCCAGTCTGTGATTGTACCGGAGCTTGGAAAAACACACAGCAGAGGTGCTAACAGACAAGAGCCCAAGGGATACGTAAAAGTCTGGCATCTGCTTGGCAGGATGGAAATTCATAAACCAAATCCAGAATGCATTTTAAAGCCAGCTGCTGCTGACGGCTGTGACATGACAGAAAGGCGGTCGGGAGGCAGAGTCAGTCACGAGGCTCGTGGTGCTCTGTTCAGCTCGGCTCAGCTCTTCTGTTAGTCTAGTCTCTCCGGGGAGGAAGGGAAGCTTAATTTCCCTGATGTTCACTGATGAGAGCTCAATGCTTAAAAACCTTATAGGTCGCTGAATGATAATCAAATCAAACAAGATAAAAGAAGAATGATTGGTTAACATTTGAATGGCAGTGATTACAGTATGGCAGCCTTTGTCTCTGTCTATTAAAACCTCTGGAAGACAATCTGTCAGGCTGTTACAGAGTCCCCACTATCAGCTCTGCAGCATTGTTTCACAGTGGTAATGAATCTGCAATCACTCACATGGTTTAACTGGTAGGCAGCACAGGCTGAGGTCCCTGCTGTCTCAGACAGCCGAGGCAAAAACCACATACACACAAGATGTTCAGTTTGAATCTAGGCCATGACCTGCAATATGTACTTCCTAAAAGAGTTGAAATTGCTAAAGTGAAAATGTGCATTCTCACGTTTTTGTGAAAGAGGTCAGAGAGGCAAAGTGTTGCACAGTTGTGATGCACAGTTGCAGAAAGATTGCCGATTTGCTGCTTTGAATTCTGGACTGTTGGGGAAATGTGTAAGAAATGCTTCCCCCTCTCTCCCTCTCGCAAAAAAACAATGATTCATTAGTGACAAGCCAACAGTACATTAAATCACAATGTAGCAGTCTTACTTTGATGTCATGCAGATAGTTCCTCCAACCCAATACATAATCGAAATATAATGGAGATGAATGGAACTTAATTTGTCCTTGTAGCTCAGGATATTATACAAACCTCATTGTTAATAGTTTTCAAGGGGACTAAGAAATAGTCCCCTTGAAAACTTTGGACAGTGGGTTCTGTGGATTACCCAGAGTAATGAGCACACTGGAGCAAGGCACTGCAGACACAGAACAACATTTGCATTCATTTGGAGTTGTGTTTCTGGCAAACTGACTAGTGTCAGTCCAATATTCACTTTCCTTTTAGGTTTTGTTTTCATCCTCCACCAGCTCCTGAGTGAAAATTCAGGCTCTTTAGCTGCCAAATGTTCCATTATGTTTACCACCTAGCTGCTAACTTTGTCTGTCTGTTGTTTGTCGCTAGGTATGTAGTGTAACAATGGGTATATCCGAGCTTTTGGCTGAAAACAGTTGAAAATAGCTTGCCACTGGAAATAAGGCTGATGAGAACCATGACAATGAACCGAAACAGTAAAGTTGCGGACAGCAAAACCAAAACAATGAGCTGAAAATGCTACAACACTGAGGGGAACTGCAAAGCCAGGTGATATTCTCCGTGGGTTTGTCACTACGAGTGACACCTGTCAAATTACACAAAGTGATTTGATCCATACTTAATATAAAAACATCGAGTAATGCAGCTTTAAGTCTGTCCTGCAAATTTGTTGCCATTAGCTGCAACAGTAAATTTACCTTTGAGGGTTTTTTGTATATGTAGGAATCATGCATTAAAGGGAGAACTTTTCACTTTTCACTACACATATTCTTCTTTAGCAAACATGAGAAACAAGTACTGTACTAAGTCGTACAGCTAAAGAAGGAACTTCCATGATGCTGCCAGATCCCAGGGTAAACAAATGAACTCAAACACTGGCAAAAGGAGTAAATAGTATTACCTTTCTTACATTCTTGACGGCGTAAAGAAGAGAGCAGACGTTCCACCATGGCCAATAAATGAAATGCACCAGTCTAGTATTAACTAGCTTTTGCCCTACGAATTATCAGTTTATAACCTCAGACTCGGCTTGGTAAAAATCATGACTCAACCTTTGTTGAATGAACAAAACATAAGAAAACAGTGAGCCAAACACACAACCAGTGTCCTTCCCCCACCTGAAAGGCGTGTGGCGTGTCGTCCACACAGTACACCCGCAGGATGTAGCTCACGGAGCCGGCCTCCATGCTCCCAAACACAGCCAGCTTCAGCCTCTTGACGGCAGCCTGCGTCAGGGGCTCGCCCACCAGGGCGTACGAGCCCGGCTGGTCTAGCAGCAAGTGGCAGTTTGTCGAGTCCATCAGGCAGTAACAGGAAGTGGACTCCTCCTCCACCGTCATCACTTCCTGCAATAAAGAACAGAAGACATACCCAAAAGACGCATTAGGTATCTTTCTGATGTTATCAGCCTAAAGCTGCTTTTGGTGATGCTGACCCCATGACTCTCAGCAAGAACATAAAATATGGTGCATTTTTCACTTGCATAATTGATCAAATACAGAAATATTTTTTCTTTAATATTTAAATGCTGAGTGATCTTTCAGTTCAGGGAGATTATTTTGGAGAAAATTTTTCTAGACAGTAAAATACGGCCTTCAATAATAGTACATACAATATAGGTTGGTTCTTTCTTCAAATAGGATATTCTTACCTGTTTCCTGCTGAGAATAAAATGGAGCAAAAAAGATTATTTGCACTATAATATCAAATTCTTAGTATTCAAACACGCAGTAAAAGCTTCTTGCACTCTAGAAAGTCTAATGGAAAGGTGTGTCATTACATTAGCTAGAACACTGAAGCATATACTGAATACAAGTACAGAGTCTTTACATATCATCTCCACCACCATAGTCACAGTTTTAGACAGGTTAGTTCTGTCAGCAGGGGTTACACACTTTAATGTACTTGTTCACCACACTCACTTCTCCGTCTCTAGTGCTTCAATTCAGTTCAGCAGAAAAGTAGGCTGATCAAGAGATAAGGGTTCAACTACAGCCAAAAAGCTGGGTTATGGGGCCGATGACCAAAGGAGATGAGTCCTGTCTTGGTGTGAACCTTTAACTATAGTTTAATTACAGCGCGAAAGGTCCTATAATTAAATTTGGACATATCTTTAATGTCTTTACTTTTTCCCAAAATTGTCAATATGCATACCTTGGATGACACCAAGCAAGGCAGATTAATTTACCTAAGATCACTAACACTAAGATCAGATTTAAGTACCACATACTATATATTCTTAACTATATCAAAGGCTTATCTTGCACTTGTTTACATTTGTAATTTTTAGCTCCCAATTCCCTACATACAATACACATTTCTTCAGTTCTTCTGTTTCTATACAAATACCACTTCACAAAGTGTGAAACATTTAAAGTTTATCTAGTTAATGAGAACATATATTTTAACTCCTTAGAGGGGAATTAGAATTAGAATCCACTCACATTATATAAAACTAAGCTATAAACAACCTCCAATAATCACAAATAATCGCTTTGTTTTACACACTGCGTGAGACTTTCCCGCCGCAGAGAAACCCTTCAACATACCGTCTGTTATACACAAAGTTGCAGGCAGAGTTTGTTGCTGAAGCCTGTTATAGAACTGCATATTCATGCCCAGAGCTACATGGATATCACGGCTAGAAAACTGTGCAAATGAACTTCTGTAGACAGTAGAATGTATTATGGATTGAGTTCTGGTACATTGCTGTTGCATAATGGTGTAGGTAACATAACACAGGTTTAAATCACAAAGCAAAAACCCACACCAGTTGTGAGCAGTCTCCTGAGAATGTGAAAAACCATTTACTACATGAGTGATGGTGTTAGTACATAGCAGAACACAAAATAGTCATTATAAACAATATAGACAGTATAATTTATGAGGTGACAACAGCAGCCAGGAAATACTTCATTATGTCCAACTGGAATGAAGGAATATTTTATGTTCTGGCTTTCATTTTTTCCTTTCCTTTCCTTTCAAACATCAGACATTGAACAGAATACATTACAGTGTAACAAACCCAGCAAGGAGTGGGAGTTCTATTATACCAATGGGAGTTAATGACAAGCCAAGGGAAATATCCAAAAGTGCTTTTGCAATGAACAAGTGAGCTCATTCAAACGAATGCCGTTTCAAGCACTCTTGGTTGAGTGCATTGTTGTGACGGAAATCAGAAATGATGTGTCACCAATTCCACTGAAAACTCCCTTTACTTCAAGGGAAATATACTCGAACAAATACTGCAAATGATGCATAATATGATAAGTAAAGATTTGTTTTTAACCTACTCGAGAGCCAAAATGTAAGGGATTCCTGCGTTAGGATAAATCTGGGAGAGAAAGGCAAAGTGCACCGAATTCCCCTTTAAGTATCTTCCCTTCATTATCCAAACCATCTCACAACATTATCACACAGTATGTTGCAACCCCCTTCTTAGCAAGCAGAAAGAAGCCATGAAATACACGTGATTATACAAGTTAATGAGGAGCTGTGAGACCAAACAGCATGCTAAAAATTTGAGCCTGAGGAGCAGTATTTATTCCCTCACAAATAATCACAAGTTAACTGGCAGTATGGCAATCAGACGGCAGGTTACCAGCCATCATGCCCTGCAAGACAGCACACCTCCTTCTGTTCACTCACTGTTGGGTTGCTTTAGAACAGCGTTACACGCCAGATAACTACAGTCCATTATGCCAACATGTGTTTTGACCTATAAGAGAGTATTACAACAACATGGAAATACTAAGTGATATTCTATATTTGTCTTGAGGTTTATGGGTCAGTTTTGACTTTGGAAACAACAGGGGAGAAAATGATCTCACCACAAGGTCTATTTAGTAGCAGTTCTGGAGCTGCCAAATGATTTTGTGGTGAGATTGTTTGTCAAAATGAAAAGACCCAAGCATACCATAAACTGATCCTACCAACAAGCACTGTCTAAAAAAACTTAATTCTTCTGTAGTTTATTTTCAGTCAAACACACACAAAACATCCAACTGCTGTAAGTACTCACTGAATATGTAGTAGTATGCAGTTGAAAATAGTCCCCCAAAAATGTGCTATTCCCTACAGTTTGAGGTATATTTGTCAAAAACTACATTTGCCAGCGGTTTAAGGAAATTACAGACCCATTTAAAAAATTTAAAAGGAATAGTTCCACATTTTAGGGAAAATGTTGTTTTTGGTTCTTATTGTGAGGTAAAGTGAATTGAACATGTGTATTTCAAGTGAATGTGATGTATTTATTATATTAGCTACAAGATGTATAAACTTTGATATATCTTTCGTTTTTGTTGCAAGTTAACTGGTATCTTCTAATTTTGTGTTTCAGTTGTTGTCTGTCTAGGGTGTGGGTGGAAGCAGCAGAGTGAGCCAACTGTTTTCGTTCTGTGTATTTTTGTGTATTCGTTTTTGTTGTATTCGCTGTGTACTAGTTATGTTTTGTCTTTGTATAATGTATTTGTGTTTTTGGACCCTTTGAAAACGAGATGCTGCATCTCAAAATTGACATTGAAACCTACAGCCAGGAAACATTAGCTTAGCATAAAGTAAGCTGAATAAGCTATAGGCAGTTCTGGCACAGAGAATAATTTTTTGAGTGATTCTTAAGTGGATTTATGAACGCTTATTCACAATAGACATCGAGAGGATGAATTTTGAGGCAAATTGCGAGTATCGAGTGCTGCTTGAAATGTACCTTGCCTCCATAAACTGTGTGTCTCCATCCCTTTCACCTGACACAGCTTCCTTGCCTCATGTCTGCGCCCCTCTATAAGCTCTGCTGCGCCCCTGGGGGAGGCACACCTCACAGTTCTCTCTGGTATATGCAGTCTCATGGAGTTCCAAAGTGAAAAGTTACTGATTTGGTCAGTGATGATGAATCAGAGTTTTACAGATGGGCTGTAAATGTACATGTCAGATTCCATCCATCCATCGTCAACCACTTATCCTGCATACGGGGTCGCGGGGGAGAGACAGATTAACACGTTGATTTTGGTACTTTCATGGGATTTGTTGACTATGACAGAAATATCCAACCTTCTTCTTTGACATACTACCATGCTTGATGGGATATAACACTACAACGTAAGTACTTAGTGCAAAGTTCCAGCTCAGTGAACAACGAATATCTTGGCAACCTTGGCAGAAGACCAGCATTGTATCACAACTCTAAGACCTTATAAAGCCAAATCCACGCAATAAATCGGGCCCAATTCATTTCCTGTTAGCAAAGAGTTTATCAGCTCATTCTACAGAATCAGGCACTTTATCACTCAATGAGATGCAACATAAAGTGAGAATTGTTACCACTCAGTTCAGCCACATTCATGTCAGGGATTCCTTCTGTGAATACTTTATGTTTATGCATTTTGTACTTATGCTCTCTGCATCCTCATAAGCACAGTTTAATACACTGCAGTATGGTACTGAATAATAATACACTGTGGCTGGGAGTGCTGAGGAGTCTTCTGTGGGTAGGGTGTTTTAATGACAGCTGAAATAAGGGTATTTTAATGGCACTGTGCATTTATGTATTATGCATTGTCAAAACCGTCCTCTTTCTCTCTTTAGGTTAGACCTCAGTGGTAACTCATTATTTCTAACCAAGAAGCTCTGAGGATCTCTGCGCCCTCTTAATATTAGAGTAAAATCTCAAAGAGACATGAATCTTGTATTTATTCATATTCCCTCCAGTCTCCTTCCCTTCCTCATTCACAACACGTGCCCATCTTGAGAAATTGCCCTCTTACACTGAAAAGAAATCCTTTTCTTTTTTTTTGTTCACACAATGGCAAACCTAGTTAGTTAAGTATTTGCCTGAACTCACAGGACGAGGAAGAAAATATACAATAAAAAGCCATACAGTGGTGACACCTCTGTAAGCAAACAAGACCTCAGCAGAAGAGCTCTTCAAAACCATATTAATCTCTGACTGAATGATCTGAAGAGAGCCGACGTGGTTTCTAATCTGCAGAGGCATCGGGTGGCATCTCAGGAAAGATTACAAAGAAGAAGATGGGAGAAGAAAGGCTAAGCTGCTACTTCTGATTTCTGTATTTTGGCATCCACTTATGTAAAATTTCCAAACGATGTAAGACACAGAAGATGATGGATATGAATCCCACGTCATTGCGTACAGAAATGGACCCTGTGGGAGTGGGATAGCCAGCTCCAGTACCTTTGGCCTAACCTGAGCACCTTTCTAAACACTCTCAGAAAGAAACTGTAAAACTGAACTTGAATTGAAGGTCCATCATGTTGCATCTTTGCTTGAGGCAAGACCGTTGTGCATGCAGAGGCCACTGCAACTCTTGAATATTCTTTACAGCAACAATCCCCATCACTTAGAAAAACATTATTCAGGACAAAAGACAGACACTGTAGAAAGCAAATCCGTCTGGTTTTCCTCTAAATAACAAGCTCTTTTAAGCGCTGACAACCACCACAACAGCCAGGGGCAAACCTGTGGTATTCATTATTCTGACCCATGCTTGGCTTGCTAAAACTTTACGTCTGACTTACATTTGCATTACTGCCAGACTGAATATTGTCTTCATTATACAACCCCCCCCCCCTTGTCTTGTTATCATCTTGCTGGTTACTGCTCAAAACTACTAGCAAATAATGCAAAGTGACAAAAGCGATTGCCTTTGGGTTTGGGATTAAGCTCTTGGGACTTCATCCAGACCAGTAAAAACAATCTCCTTCACAGGGGAGGAAAAATAGACAAAAGCTGACATTGTTGGAACACGTTCACATACAGAGCTGGGAAAATAGAACGTGTCCTGCTCCCCAGCATCTGAGCGAAACTAACAAGACACACAAAATATCGGGTGAGAGGTGCAAGGCTTGGTTGTGATAGGTGTCGATGGTGTGTTAGGTATGTGTGTGTGTGGGGTGGGGGTTGATGAGGAAGCCAATGGAGAGCCTCTGTCAGCAGAGAAACAATCTCCATGACTCTCCTCCTGATTGCCTCACATCTAAATTCACCGTGCCATGTCTTTCCTGATCCACTAATCGATACTTTCCTTGTCTAACGGCCCCTTACCTCCCTGTTGTAACCCCCACCACCATCACAACCCCACCCCCCCACTGACTGACAGCAGCCGCGCCATTACACGCTGTAATTGTTTCTTTATTTTCCTCCTGCCGCACCAGCAGTGTTACCTTCATGTGGCCTTATATCACCCTCTGGACCCACAGAGAGCATAAACCGGATCAATCAGCTCACCCACAAATGCCCAACAGTCCTTTATGGCTCACACATAATTCAACTGGGCCTTTTACCACAAAGCACATAAATAAAGCAAACAGAGGAAGAAAACAGAGTCAACGACCCATGGTGTCTTATGTCAAAAAAATGACAGTAACGTCTACTCACTGTCCTACACTGAGCGATGTCCAGTTACTGTATGGAATGAAAGACACACCTAACTGAGGCTTTCAGACAGCGTGACAAAGCGTAAGTATTTTACACTGTAGGTACCAACGTCCGTATGAAACGCCACCGTTTGCTACATCCCAGCAACACAAAGGAGGCTTACCCTACCTGCTAGCACATCGGCAGTGACTTAAGTTTAGGTACTTATATTTCTGATGTGATAAGGGTAGGGGGCTTCGGGGGGGCTGTCAACACCTTTAACACAAACATAGCTAGCTAGCTAGCTAGCAATACCCAGCTAGTATTTCCGGTTTGTACGAGACTCATAGAGCCCACTTGCTCTAAAGAGATAAATATTGTTTTAACATTTACATTCTTAATTTCCTTGCCAGCTTGTTGCTAACCATGTCTGCCTGCAGCTTGGTGCTGAGCAGGTAGCGTGTGGAGCTGTTTTGTTTAAAATCTCTGCCTGATGCTGCTGGAGAGGGTTGAACAAGCCAAGTTGAAAACTATGTAGAGGTGAGGGGAACAACAGAGACTCAGTGGTTTTGTCATTAAATGTCTGCAGCCGGTTGAGATATCAGCTGCAGTTGCATTAGCTAATTGAGAACCAGATGGGTCTCATGTGGGATGAACCTGAACTCACGGGAAAGCATACAGGTATCATTTTGATGTGTGGAAACATCAGGTGTTGCTTTTGTTTGTCTTTCTTTCTTTTGTACACTGGAGCATTTTTCACCAGGTCACTAGATCCAGATGTTGCAGCTGAAGTTGCATGGGAAATAATACTATTTTAGGCATGTAAACAAACTGAGCAGTATGGTGGTCACATACATCTTATTTATGGATGCGAGTGCATTGATTCCTGCCGTCAATATGGCGATGCTAGATGGTGACATCACAGCAGGACCTCAATAGTACGTAGAGTTTTTTAACATTTTTATGCTGTGACTGCTCTTTCCTAGTGTTTACTTTGTCGACAAAATCAATGCATCGGCACTTTAATGTCATTTCTAGTCTAGTCTTGGGGTGCAGCAGCCTTTGCACTGTAAACATAAACAGTGTTAACACTGGGGTTTGGTGAGTTTGCCCTCACTTTATTCCTGGTGACATTTCACTACAACAAACGAATAGAGCCATTGAGGAAAAAGACAACCTAGGAGAGCCAAACGCCGTGTCTGAGCAGAGCCAAGACCTTGATGGGCTGTACTGTACTTGACAGGTGTGGTCCTGCAGCTCTCACCTCCCATTTGCTGTCCTGGGTTTTTCTCTTGAGCTGGATGTTCCAGTTCTCGGCGTCCACCTCGGCGCAGTGTGCGATGGTCATGGCCACTGGGCAGAAGAGGTCCAGGCCCGGTGGACCGTACGTCACCTCTGGGCCCAGGAGGATGTCACAGCCTTCCAGCGTTTGGACACTAAACACACAGACACACACAGAGAGAAAGAGACACGTTGAAAAAGCAGTTTTGGGCCTGGAGAGAAACGACTGTGTGCTGGAGACTGTGCTGTATATGTGCCTTTTGATGTTTCCATCTAAAGTGCTTTCCAGCATCATAACTGTGTTTTTTACACAACTCCACTCTCAATGTGTGCAATAAATTAGTATACTGCAGGGCTGAAAACACTTTTGTTAAAGTGAAATGCTTATTAAAGTCTGTACTTTCTCACTAATATGATCCATAATCTGGGATAATCTCACTCAACAAAAACAGATTGTGTCTGTTGGCAGCATATTGGCAGCATAGTTAAGATCGTAGGCAGCGATTTTCACGACTTTCCACATTTAATTATTATCTCAGAGTCATTACATGTGCTTAATATCTATCCTTGAGCTGCTGTTGCTGAGATGAAAAACTCTTGTGGACTGTTGCTTCTCGAGTTCAAGTTATTGCCACGCAGCTAGGCTGCTGGAGTTTGTTCCAGCGCAGGTGAAAAAGTCACTGCGATTTGCCGGCGAGTTGGAGTGTGCTCATTAAAAGCGGCTTATAACAAACAGGTCTTACCAGTGGATGGTGGCGGCAGCAGCAGCGGTTGGTTTTTAGAAAAAAGGACAGGTAGGGATCATGACAGAGGAGCTCAGCGCCTTTCTAAGCTCAGTCATCACAGATCAGTCATCTGAGTGTGTTGATTTGTTAAGATTTCCTGCTTTGAATGAGAAGTGATTTGTAGTCGTCATGGGAGCAGCAACTTTAAAGTACAATATGCTACACAATGACTTAAAACTGACAGGTGGAGAATGAAGAGGAATACCTGCAGTAGCAGATTGTTGTAGGATTCAACACAATCTGCTGTGAAAGAGAGCCGGCATATAATTCTTTAAATATATTTTTTATTTTTATTAGTTTATTCCAACGTGGGTCTTATTTTAGATCGTCATTTCTATCAGTTATGATAGGATTGTTGCCATCAAAGAAATTGCTGTGATCTGGAAACACAGTGGCATTGCTACAACAAACATGTGCAGTCAGATGAAAAGACAGGTTGTAAACAGTTTAGCCTGATCATGTAAACCTAACACCTTTATTTGTAGGTAAGTGCGTGTCCAGAAAGACAATAGCACAAATCCGACACACATATACAGACTCAGCGTGAGACAGCTGCTGGAAACTCAGGTAAACTCCCACTGCACCATTACAGCTTGTCGCCTGCCTGCTTTTCAGTAACTAATGTTATTATTTCTTTATCTTTCACCAGAGGCTCAGCAATGTGAGCACAGCTAAATGTATGATAATGATGATAATAAACGGTTAGTGAGCTAGACTGAATATTATAAATGAGATTGTTGCCTCACTTTATAACAGTTAGACCGCAGTGAGTAACTTTACTGTAGTGAATGGGTCTTACACTGTGTTTTTCTGCACCAATATGTTGCTTTATTGTAAATAATGTGGGTCATGTAAGTTACAGTGAATGTGACAGTGGAGAAGCTGTTTACCTGAGTATATGTAAAACGACAATAATTGAACATTACGAAACAAACAGTGGTAGATCTGTGCTAACGTTAGCTGCCTCGTCTGCCTCTTCCTTGCATCACTGTCAGTAAACAAATTGCTCCAAATTTGACTGTAGCGTTACATCCTTTCTTGCAGGCTAAAAAGAACACGTTGACATAATACTGGTGGTACACAGAATAGTAATAGGAGTCGCGTTAGTAATGAGGAAAGCTGTACAACTGACGTATTTTTCACTGGATAATGATAACGCAACTGCTCTGCATTAGCCAGCAAGCTAATGTTATCTAACTTGAGCCAACATACAGTATATTTCAAATGCTTTGCAGTAATGTTGATTCACCTGTCCATTAGTATGAAAGTCAACTCTGTCAGTTTTGTTGGTTTCAAAACAAAAAGGTCTCTCCATCACTTAATCTTTCTGATGTTGACTGTGTTTTCACCTGATATCGATTTGATTGCCGTTTTGCCTAACAGCCTTCAGCACATAAAACTTTATTGTTGTTTTTTATCCTTAGATGGAGTTTGTGTTGGAGTAGAGTCACTCGTTTTGTGGTGTTAGTGGACTGCATTTCGTTAGCTGCAGTGTTGTCGCTGTAGTCTCGGGAGAGGCTCGGGAGCGAACGTACAGATAATCCGACCCAGTTCCTTCACATAAGAAGCAAGAATAGTGGCTGTTCCAAGCAACAGAGAAAACGTACAGGAAAATGTACAGGAGATTTCATATTGTATGAATTCCACTGTCCACATACTCAGTGGCTAACAGGGGCGCCCCCAGAAAATTTCCCCAGGGGTGGCCAGAGGGGCCACTGAAAATCCTGGGGTGGCACACCAAAAGCCATAACTGAATTTTAGGAATTCTATTATGCATTATATAGACTAGTTCAATACTACATAAAAATATGAGTTAAAGAATCACAGACTGAAGACTTTGGTTTCTTATTTTACAGTTAAAATTGTCTAATGTCCACAGACTAAAACCAGTTCAGTTAACATTCCATAAAATGGAAATGGATGTTGTATGTGTTAGGCAATTAATTGTTCTTTCTATAGGCAAGTTAACCTTTTTCTTAAAAAGGCAAATACAACTTTTATTTGTAGGAGTGCATTGATGGGGATAAACAAAACATTTACTAGAAACAAGCCTACTCAAGATTACAAGCTAAACAGAAAGCTGTCTGTCTTGTATAACACTTGTATGCTGCTATTCACCTTTTCACTCAAACCAAGGGGTTACATAATATAAACAGTATTTAGCATTTTATGCATTATGCTCTTCACCCATTTTCTTAGGGTGGCCGAACCTGCCATTCACTGGTCTTGTGCCAAGTTTTGCGTGCCGTGCGACTGCATACACGTCGCGGTTCCTCGCAGATCTATTTCAAGTACTGTTCAAGTTCTTAAAACAATATAATATTCTTTGTGTGGTTCATCAGTAGTGATAAATGATCCGAATGTCCCACGACACACACACACACACACACACACACACACACAAGCTACGCCTACACATGCTCTGAACCTCTTTCTTTAAGGATAATTTGGATTTATCACAACTTTTAAAAAATTAACTTTTTTCTTTTTACATGTTTATTTACAGCATTATCTGTGTGAAATGTTATTGTAAATAGCTGTATATTAACCTATTGGGAGAAAAACTGATAGTTGTATTTTAAATAAGAT